TATAAATGGGGTTTATGGAGCCTCAGGATTCTACCCTAAAATTTTGTCTGATTTAATATTGGATTCATATGTGATTTCCTTTCATATGTGTTCCCTGCAAACCTATGTTATCTATAGCTCTTTACTTTCTGAGATCACAATATTAACAGTGATGGCTTATGATAGATACGTAGCCATATGCAAACCTTTAGACTATCATTCCAAATTAACTAAAAACACCTGTGTGAAATTAATTCTGTTCTCATGGATTGTTCCCAACTGCATTTGCATTACAGCAGTCCTGTTATCAAACTTAAGACCTATTTGTAAATATCACATTGACAAATTATATTGTGACAACTGGTCAATTGTAAAGCTGGCCTGTGTATCATCTTTTGTTAATAATGTCTTTGGATATGCAATTTCTGTTATATTTTTTAGCTTTATAGTTCTTATCATAGTTTCCTACTTTAAACTGATCTCTGCATGTAAAGCATCTTTAGAAAACAGAAAGAAATTCTGCCAAACATGTCTCCCACACATATTATCACTGATAAATTTCACTATTGCTTTGCTTTTTGATATCATGTACAGCAGATATGGTGCAAATGACATTCCAGAGAGTTTGCGCAATTTTTTGGCTCTAGAACTGGTGATAGTTCCGCCTGTGTTCAATCCTCTAATCTATGGGTTAAATATTACAGTAGTGCGCACAAGAGTTTTTACTTTATGTGTATCATGTGCATCAAGAGAATTTTTTTCACAAAAAATCCACAACTTAATTCTGTACTAAGCCTCATACATGCAAAAAAATAATAATTCAGAAAGAGTGTGTTCTTAACAAGCATTTCTGGTGTGGTGTGATTTATGCACGAACTGTGAAATAAATAAATACATTTATATATATATATATATATATATATATATATATAGTATATCTGTTGTGAATCTAGTGAACACCCAGCCTAAGCATGTTGTATTTCATCCAGTACTTCAAGTTGTATGATTGCCATATTGGAACACTGTACATCTAAATTACTATAACATTTAATAGAGTATTTTAGAATTACTATCTTATATAAAAATGTATTTTTACTAGAAATAAACTCTTTACTAAAAACTCTAACAGCCTTTGTATCAGCCTACATCTTTACATGAGGTCTCTACAGATAGTATTTCTTCACAGAATTCTGTAGTAATTGAATGAATGAATCTTTTAACCAGTAAATTTATTATTGTCATCATCAACATCATCTTGGAAAAACAGAATTGAAACAAAGACAGTCACTTCAAATTCAAATTACATTTCAAATTACATTTAGCATTCTGACGTCATTGTAACTCAATGTTTCTGAAACATATGAAAAAAATGTTGAAAGTATTAGGTTTTGTGTTCTCATACTGACCTTGAAAGACCCTGAAATTGTTTAAAGACTTAAAGAGACTTGTTTAGAGACTTAGAGAATGTTGTTAAAGGGAAAATTCTGTCATCGTTTACTCACCTCATTTCATTACAAACATGAGGTTTTTTCCCTGCAGAACACAAAAGAAGATATTTTGAAGAATGTTGGTAACCAAATAGCTTCAGTTCCTATTGACGTCCACTGTATTTTTTGTCCATGCAGTAAGGTTAATGTGAACCGAAACTGTTTGGTTACCAACATTCTTCAAAATATCATCTTTTATGTACCACTGAAAAGAAAATAAATAAAAAATAAAATTGCAATGACTTGAGGGGGTGGAAATGATGACAGAATTTTTATTTTTGGGTAGACTCTGCCTTCAAGCAACCCAAAAGTAAAGCGCTTATGAATTTCACTGTAGGACTCTTGTCTCAAAAACCGTTGATTAATTAAAATATGATAGGTGTTTTGGAAAAAATATGAATATTTTAAACTTTTCAAACTATAAACTATTGCTTCCGGCCAACCGTCTGCACAAGTAGTAACGCGGAAGCACAGAGGACCGTCACAGTGACCTGTTGTTTATATCAAGCGAACACATATATGACAGTTAGCCAGAAGCAGTGGTTTATAGTTTATCATTTTTCTTACAGAATTTTCATTTTTGAGTGGAGTATCTCTTTAATTACTTAAAATAATAATAATAAAAATAAAAAAATAATAAAAACCTTGGTGTTGTTATAAAGTCCCATTTGTGCATGTCCATATATTTGCAGTGAATAGTGACCAGCATTAATCCTTAAAAAAAGGCACAAAGACCTAGGTCCTCACCCTGCTGCTGGTGACCTGCTTCAGTACACCAGGCTTGTGATTTTTCATGTGATCCTGAAGACCCTGATTGGCTGGTTCAGGTGTGTTTGATTAGATAAATTCTGCAGCACAGTGGGTCCCCAGAAGCAGGGTTGAAGATCTATGTGCAAAAATATCACAGAATGATCCAACACCTGTCATATAATACAGATATTCGGGGGTATACAATAGGGTTTGTTGAAAAACAAACTGAAATAAATGTATTTAACGAAAACACCTGAGCTTGGCCTTTGATTTTTTATTTTTTTTTGAGCACGACTGTGCATGGCCAAGATACAGCCTCTCATCCAATATGGATATCATAACTTTTGAACAATGATGAATATCAAAAATCGAAGGAGTAGTAGTAATAATGGGGGCACTATTCACTTTATTTTACGATACAGAAGTAAGGTATTTCCTCTAAATATGTGAGACTTTTGATTCACTAGCCGCTTACAGGTAATAAACTTAAAAAATTACAAAGTGCAGTAAACAGTAAAACTATTTGCACTACAAATTAATATTTAAAATTACTACAATACATTAAAATAATATGATAACAAATAACAGTTTTCAGTATTAAGAAGCATAGCAAGCTGTTTCATATAGCTAAAAATAACTATAAGTGAATGACAGAAACCTCGCAAATTCAAGTTACAAATGCCTGTGCCCACTGTTACAATAAAACGTCTCAGGTTACTTATGTAACCATGGTTCCCTGAGTAGGGAACGAGACACTGCGTCCTCTAGGGGTCGCTATGGGGAACGCCTCGTCGTGACCCGTGTCTGAAGCATACATTGAAAAAACACCAACTCGTTGGCCGGGTCACGACGAGGCGTTCCCCATAGCGACCCCTAGAGGACGCAGTTCGAAGTTCCCATGAAAGGGAACTACTGTGGATATAGTTGGTCCTAGAGACCCCAAAATTGGTCAGATTACTACTGGAGACCACCTCAATAAATGTGCCAAATTTGATCATTTTCCTATGTATGGCTCATAGGGCTGCCATAGACTTCCATTTATATAAAATAAAGATAATCAACAGATTATAATAATCAACAGAAACTATAATATAATAAAAATAAAAACTACTACTAATAAAATAAAATACTGAAATATGGTAAGTGTTAAAAAATCATCACACTGTATTAAAGGTCCCATTTTGTCAAAACTGAAATTTCCTGGCTTTTTTCAGGATAACTGAGGTCTAGGGGCTATTTAACTACCATATAAGTTTCAAAACAGTCAGTCCACAGTAAAATTCACACAGCCTGCTTAAAGTTCTAGCTATTTTTCACGAACCGTTGTGACTTCCGTAAAAAGTTGACGTCAGAACTACACAGTCACTGCCTTCAGTCACCATCCCGAGCACCGCCCACCGTCCCACTCTCCTTTTGCCAAACCCCCAGAACAACATCGCGGAAACATGTCGAAAAGGTTAACTTTAACCACGAAACCAGATCGGCCGACCTGTAACTTTACACTCTCACTCAAAGGATGGACGATCTGACAGCATTGTTACTATGACCTCATCTAGGATCACATCTAATGTGTATAGTAAAGACAAACTCACCGTGTCCATCTAGTCATGATGAAGATGTATATACATTTCAATTTCAGCAGGCAACTATTTTTACAGCTACATTATTGTTCCAATCACAATTAATCACAACAATGTATACAATTACAAATGATTATATATAAATTGTCAGTTTGTTGTTTTACACACATGCACAAAGACATTATTTCATGCAGGACATAGTCGTGACTCGTGAGATGCAAGGTTTTTTTTTGTCTGGCAGTGGCAGCAGATATGCGATCAAATTTCTAATTTGAGGCTGTATTACGTCGATTCTGGCACCCAACATCACAACAAGATGATATTTTAAGCTCCTTATGTAGCTGAATCTGCACTGGTTTGAATGGGCCGCCTCCAGCTTCCCCTTTGTTTTGCTGCCTCCAGCTAGCGCTGTGATGTCGGCTGACCCTAGTTACCTGTGGTTGGCCTGGCCGTGCGTCACTCAGAAAACAACAGGCCAATCAGAAGAGAGGCTCATGATTATTAATTAGACAGGCCAAAATCGACCTATTCTCAGCAGAGCTCCTGAGAGAGGAGCTGTAAAAATATATTGAGATGTTTTTTGGTACTTATACCACAAATATATATTCTTAAGGACATCAAAACCTAAAATAAAACTCCAGAAAGGTGTAAAATATGTGACCTTTAAAGATATTTAATTTATATCTAAAAATATTCATTCTGCATTTATTTACTTAGCAGGTGCTTTTCTGCTAAAGCACATCAGCAATAAAACAAAAAGCTAAGACCATAATAATGAAGTGACATCACCTTAGTTGTCAAACCTAATTATCAAAGGGGTTAATAAACCTACCCCCATCCTCAGACCTTATTTTATATAAACTGATGATTAGTGATGATGATTACTAATGATGAACTGAGCATTAGGAAATCTCCCTCAGAGCACAGAACGGAAGGACTTTCCGGAACACCTCAACATTTTTAACATTCTCTTTTAGTTTTTCAGTTACAAACACAATTCTTTTGGAGAACTTTTTTTTTAGTTTTTCATCAAAGGATTTTCTATGCTGCGTGTTTGACTGTAAATACGCTCACCACAATGTGTGTATACAAAAAGAAAATGCATTTGAGAAAGTGTGATATAAGAATTGATTATGATTGTACTTTTCCTAAGATGCTTTTGTTTTTGCATTTGTGTCTGATCTGCATTAGTTTGTCAAGTGGAATGGACAACATCTCCTCCTTCTCCTCTTTCTCTCTCATAGCTCTGAATGACACCAGCAGGTCCAGTAGGATCACTGCATTCTCTTTTGCCCTCCCAGGCTATTTAGTGACCATTTTTGTGAACGCAGCCTTGATTTGCATAATTGTTCTGGAGAAAGTTCTCCACCAGCCTATGTATATTTTTTTGTGCAATTTATGTATAAATGGATCATATGGAGCCACAGGATTTTATCCACCCCTGCTGTATTATTTACTAAATGAAACCAATGTAATCTCTCTGAAAGAATGTACCATCCAAAGCTTTGCCATTTTCACCTATGCAATAGGTGAGTTTACTAATCTGTGCATAATGGCGTTCGATAGATACTTAGCAATCTGCAGACCTCTGTACTACCATACTGTCATGACAACCATCACTGTTTGGAGGCTGCTGACTTTCATTTGGATGTTTCCCTGCTGCACTGCAATACTGATAATACTGATGACGCTCCGGTTTTCCATTTGCATGAATCAGATAAACAAACTGTACTGTGAAAACTGGGTCTTGGAGAGACTTGCCTGCGGGGTGGACACTGCTCAGTTTGTGGTTAATGGAATATTAACATGTGCTATTAATGCTCTGGTGTGGTTTGTGTTTTTGTCTTATATAAAAATACTGATCGCTTGTAAGCGCTCTGTTCAAAGCAACAAGAAGTTTATAGCCACATGTCTGCCACATTTGGTAGCCTTTTTGAATTATGTGGTCTGGTCTCTTTTTAATACTCTATATGAGCTGTTTGGAACTGGCAGTCTACCTCAGGGTTTTAAACATTTCTTGTCAGTTTCTTTTTTGATCATTCCACCTCTGGTTAATCCTATAATATATAAGTGACATGACATGTGGCCAAGTATGGTGACCCATACTCGGAATTAGTGCTCTGCATTTACCCATCCAAAGTGCACACACACAGCAGTGAACACACACACACACCGTGAACACACACCCGGAGCAGTGGGCAGCCATTTATGCTGCGGCGCCCGGGGAGCAGTTGGGGGTTCGGTGCCTTGCTCAAGGGCACCTCAGTCTAGTATTGAAGGTGGGAGAGAGCGCTGTACATTCACTCCCCCCACCTACAATCCCTGCCGGTACGAGACTCGAACCCACAACCTTTGGATTACGAGTCCGACTCTCTAACCATTAGGCCACGACTTCCCCATTATTCCGCAATAAATATGGAATTATACTAACTCCTATTAGGACTAAAGTAAAAAATGTATTCCAAAGCTTAAGATCAAATCATACTGATTGAGCATTGCATATTCACAACAGATCTGGAAAAATAACATGGCTCCCATGAAATAGCAAGTGTGGGCTATATGCTCCCTGGTGATTTATAACGGTTATGATGAATATCAAAATAAAAGCCATCAGTTTGTGGTCAAATTGTATTGATATTATGAATACAATAAATATCAATAAAAATATTGCAATGCAGTGTTTCCCCTAGGTTTACAGCTTTGTAAGTTTAACAAATATTACATGTTTAGGGCCCTATGAAATGTTTTATTTTTCCAATCTTATGTTTTATTGTAACCAAATTCTGTTTTAGCATGTCTAATTATTTGAAAGCAAAGCATGGACTCCTTTTTAATGGTTAAATTACATTTTATTAATCAGCATGTCTAATTAATTAAAATCATGAAACTTAAACAATTTAACATCAATTTATTAAAAGTTTGACAAATATTACATGTTTAGGGCCCTATGAAATGTTTTATTTTTCCAACCTTTTGTTTTATTGTAACCAAATTCTGTTTTAGCATGTCTAATTATTTGAAAGCATAAAACAAGTTTCATTTATTCTTACAATAGCCTTATGATTTTTTGCTCAGAAATTCTGTGTTGTGTATTTACATTTTTTTTAAGGCATAAAATATTCATTTAATCTATCTTTTAAGTAATGAAAATTAAACCAATTTTATTTTTTGGACAATAAAGGTCATTTAATAATACAATTAAAACATTTAAGAAATATTGTATGCTTATTCCTTAAAAATAAGGTTTTAATTTTAACTTAATAGTAGAAGTAGCAGCCGGTGTCACAGTACAGAAGGAGACCAAGGACGAAGAGGTAAAGTAAACAGGGTTCTTTATTGAACAGGGGCTGAGAGAAGAGATGGAGAGAAAACGGGTTAAAGCAACAGTCTATTGAATGGAAGGGATCTAGCTCACGTGATGACGGGTTCCGTCTAGGATCGGGCTGAAGAGGATGGCACAGAGACAGGTAGGTTTCAGGTCGGAGTCCGGGTTTTTATTTTGACGGGTTGCCGTGAATACCTTTACATTTCTGTGTATATGATATGAGGATAGTTTTACTCAAATGAATGCTCATAAAGTGACTCTCAGATCAGTTCTGGAGATGTTGTTCATGTATTTATGTCCTCATTAGTGAGACAGCAGACGTTAATATCACCGGAAGCGTCACAAGCATTTCAGTACGAGTACTACACAAAACCGCGCGTCTGCACCATTCATTAACACAGAGACACGCAGAACTCATATTTAAATATGAATCGTTTTGCGGCTTAATAGTTACAAATACGAGTGGGAGTGGGCTCATGTGTGTGTGTGTGTGTGTGCGCGCGTGCGCATCGGGCAGAACTCCGCTGTGCGTGATGCAGAGAGCGCGACCATAACGTAGAGACCGAAATTACATGCCGTTATATGGAGCCATAAAAAACTACATTTTGGATTTTTATTCAACTAAAGTGGGCATCCTGTGACCTGTACTGTATTTTTTTGTCTGTAATTGACAGATTCCGGCCAAAAAAACACAACACGGGAGTGGGAGGGAATGGGAGTCATTCTTCCGGGATTGAGATGGGATGGGATTTTCCCCCAGTTTTTTCATGGGATTGGGACGGGACAGGATTTTTTTTTTTTTGTGGGAGTGTGACGGGAGAGGTTTGAAAATCCACTCCTGTGTCACCCTCTAGTCTGAACGTAGAGTATCTCTTTACTCACAGGCTGGAGGCTCAGAACGTGGTTGTACCTGTTGCTTCCTCAAAAGCTGGAGACTCAGGACTTGGTATCCGTTATTGCCTTTTCCCTCACAGGCCAGAGGCTCAGAATGTTGGTGATCTGTTTCTGTCTCTCTCCTTAAAGGACAGAGAGTCAGAACGAGTGTATCTGCTAGTGTCTCACTGGACGTGCCGGAGACTCGTATCTGTTACAGTCCCTTCCTTGACAGGACTGAGACTCAGAATGGTGTCTGTATCTGTTAGGGTATCACCCTTTCAGGACTCAGACTCAGAACGAGTGTATCTGTTGCTGCCTTCCCGTTAACAGGACTCAGACTCGGAACGATTGTATCTGTTACAGTGTCTCTGGATGAAAGACTCAAAATTAAATACCTGTTGCTGCCTTCCCTGTAACAGGACTCAGAGGTTGATCTGCTATTGTCTCACCTTTGCGGGACTCAGATTCAGAACAAGGAGTGTCTTTTGGAAGGGTTCGTTGATCTCTTTCCGACTTCTTTCCTGGTGTGGAAATTTGCATAGTCCAATCTCACATTTAGAAAAGTGTCACTAAAGTTCTACCGATGCATTATTCACTTACCAAACCACAACCAGAATACATTTGGCAATGTTACGAATGCATTAAGTCCAAACATGATGGGAAAAGATTGAACTGGCTTGCATGCATTCATTTGTCCATTAACAGCTGAGTTTGTGTAAGATGTTGCACTACACATAACTGTCACTGAGAATACTTATTTCTCTGAATAAGTAGAAGATGTGTGTGTTGTAGTTTGCATCAGTTTAAGGTTTGAAAACATAGTTATGAATGGATTTGGATGGATCTCTCTTTGTTTCACCCACTGCTGTTGCATCTGGAGGTCCTAAGGAATTTTTATGGCGGTCACAGATCAGAACCTTAGGAATCAGTCTCTGGGTGGATGAAGTGCAAAAACTGCATTTTGACCAATGAGAAGTCCTGTCCTTCCCGGGCTTGATACCAGAGGTCTTCTTCTTGCCCACTAAGAGGTGTCTGGCTGTTGTCCTAGCATCTTTATCTGATGGCGTTGGACAGTTTGCTTATGTTAGTCCACAAAGATCCAATCAAAATGTAGCAAACCTTTGTCCACTATTGTGAGGGGCCCCGCCATAAACTGGTTGCTGGAATGATCTGTCCACTACAATATAATTAATACAAGACAACCACAAATAATCACCCCTACCCCCACCCAACCCGCTGTGGGAATTCTCAGTCCAAGTTGAACTCAAAAGTTGGCACCCTTGATGCAGGTGTTTTGTAGTTGGATGTAAAAGTTATCATAAGTGTCTTCATTTTCTCCTGACATCAGGGCCACTGAGGACGCAGTGGATTAGTTTTGTTTTTGATGGTAACGCGCCACTGAATAAACAAAAAATGGAAGAGAGGGGTAGGGTGAGCAGTAGCTCATCATCATTTAAAGAAACATGCACCAAAAAGAGTGAACTGAGCTGTTTTTGACAAGGTAAAAGGGTGTTGTTTTACACGATCATTGAGGAATTTTAACCAAAGTATGTTGCAACCATTTCATGAAGACCCTAAAGAATCATACCAACTTGTGGAAAATGGGTATCCGATGTCCCTTAGTTCTATTTCACTGCCTCCAACCAAAACACAACCAGCCAATTGTTTATTTATTGTTATTAATATGTTAATGCAAGCCATAAGTAAACAAAATGTATCAGACTATACATATAGCATATCCAGAGTTTTAAATATTGCTCTAGTTGATCCATTATTCTTATTTGCTAATGTCTCACTATCAATTATGAAACCAAATCTGAAAATGTTATACTGCAAGAAGATATAAAATATACCTCAAAGTTAATGTGTAGCTTGCATGCAAAGAATACAAGACAATTTAAGAATATTTCTGAAGTGTTTCAGTAAAGATAGTTTGCTTCAGCAAACATTTGGCTAATGGAATTTCTGCATAAAGGTTCACAATAACTAATAGAGGGCCCAAACAATCAAATTTGCGATGCGATGATGCAAAAGTAGGCATAGTTATCTTGCACTGGAGGCGGTCATATGCAAAGGTCTGTGCCCAGGTGACGTCACCTTTTCCCTCTGATCCAAAACTAGCCGTTTTCTGAGGGTTATTACATAAATGCTTTTTTTATTGATGATGAGGACATTTTAAGTTATGAAACTTGCAGGATGTATTAAGCATACAAAGACATCTTCTATGTCAAACGTTCAAGGGAAATTTGGTTTCTCGTGTCATGACCCCTTTATGACATACTGCTGCTGCACAAATAACATATATCACAGATTTATACTGGTGGAGCTGGGGACGGTGGAGGGTTTCAGAGGACCTCTGAAAGCATGCTGCAAACTGCTCTAGTAAACATGAAGCAGCCATTTAAATGTAAAGCAGAAAGCTTATTGGCTGCATATGCAACATGAACCAATCAGCTTGTGCCAAGTAGTTTAAAATATCATCAGTTTGCATTAAGGAGCCATCAGCCTGTGCCATCTAGAGTTTAATGACAGAGCTTGGCATTTAAATTAATAGTAGTAGTGGTACATTATACCATAAACATTTTTTTTTGACAGAAGAAAGTAAGTATTACAGGTTTGAAAAGACATGAGGGTGAGTACATTTTCATTTTTGGGTGAATTATAATAAAGGTTGTGTTTTTTTGTAAATCTCTATTGTTAGAGATTATTATCTATTCTCTATTATTATCTTATTTAGAAGAGCCCATGTGGAAAGGGTCCTAATTAACATTCTGTCCAGTTAACAGTTCATCCAGAATAAATTGTGTATTTAGTTAGAGTTCCTGATGAACCTTTGTTATCAGAATTACAGAAGGATAAAATCATCTAAAACACTTCAAGGTCACATTTGCATTCTATAATTATTTCTGAATTATCAAAGGACTGTTAGATCATTATGACGTTGCATATCTGACTGTATATAAAGTTCTCTCATGCAGCTGTGAGCAGGATGAAGGATGGATTTCTAAAAGAGGCGTTCAGACAGAGGCCTTCTCCAAACCTCACAGCCCTTCAAGCCATTTTAATACAGCATACTGCTTGTAACTCTATTTTAATGATTTGAAGTCTTCCAACAGTACAAGAAGCTACAGAAAACTGAACACAAGAGAAATACCTGACTGTTTGATCTGAAGTTAGATTTAGAGAAGAAATGGATAATATCTCCTCTCCCCACTTTCTCACTGTCACGGCTCTGAATGAGTGGGGCTGGACCAGCAGGATCATATTTTTTTCTTTTGCCCTTCCAGGTTACCTTCTGACTATTGTTCTGAATGCCACCTTGATTATGATTATTGCTTTTGAGAAAGCCCTGCATGAGCCCATGTACATTTTCTTGTGTAATCTGTGTGTTAATGATCTGTGTGGAACTACAGGGTTTTATCCCAGGGCTTTGGTATATTTACTCACAGAAACTAACAGGATTTCACTTGAGGAATGTGTTGTACAAGGTCTTGTCATTGTGGTCTATGCAGTTGGTGAATTCACAAATTTAAGTGTGATGGCTGTTGATAGGTACATAGCGATCTGTCAACCTTTACATTATCACAGTATTATGTCACCTTTCACTCTGCTGAGCCTGGTGACTTTTATTTGGATATTTCCTTTTTTCACATGTGTAATGGCAGTTTCATTGGCTCTGAAACACCCTCTTTGCAGACATGATATAAACAAACTTTTTTGTGAACATCTTTCCTTGTTGAATCTTGCATGCAAACAAGATATTTTTCAAGGGATTTTTAATGGATTTATCTATATCAGCCTGGCTGTCTTTTTTGTTTTTGTTCTGATTTCCTGTTTAAAAATAATTCTAGCTTGTTACATACAACTTAAACAGTGACAGGAAATACTAGCATTAGGGCACGCCACTAATGTTAGCGTTAATATAGTTCGCTGCTAGTAATGGAGGATGACAGAATTGTTACAGTTCCTGTTTCGGTGTAAAAAGCTGAAGTGTGGCATCATTTGGGTTTTAACGTCCACCGCCGGACTGTGGCGCGGGCGCCGCCTTGGTTCTGCCGCTTGCCGTGTCCCGTGTGAAGAGCCTTCACGCGGGGCACAGCGTTTTGTGCAGTTGGGGTGGTGCTCGCGCTGCGGTCTCTGTGATTCCACGCAGAACATAAATACAAACTGAAAAACCTGTGAAATCCAAGTGGAAAGGTTCTGAGAATGTTTAACATCTGTTTTTGTTTTATTGTTGTAAAATTGTTTTGTTTTCTTTAGAAATCCCGCAAGCACTTTATTTTTCATTGATATTAAGCAGATGTAATTCTTTT